ACAGCATGCCAGGCCTCCTTGTCCATCACCAACTCCCAGAGTTTACTCAACTCATGTCCATCAAGTCGGTGATGCCATCCAGCCATCTCAGCCTCTGTTGTCCCCTTCTCCTCCTGCCCCCAATCCCTCCCAGCATCAGGATCTTTTCCAATGAGTCAACTCGTTGCATGAGGTGGCTAAAATACTGGAGTTTCAGCTTCAACATCAGTCCTTATAATGAACACCCAGGACTGATCTCCTTAGGATGGACTAGTCGGATCTCCCTGCAGTCCAAGGGACTCTCAAGAGTCTTCTCCAACACCACAGTCCAAAAGCATCAATTTTTAGGCACTCAGCTTTCTTCCCAGTCCAACTCTCACATCCACACATGACCACTGGAAAAACCATAGCCTTGACCAGACGAACCTTTGTTGGCAAAGTAATGTCTCTGCTTTTTAATATGCTATCTAGGTTGGTCATAACTTTCCTTCCAAGGAGTAAGCGTCTTTTAATTTCATGGCTCCAATCACTATCTGCAGTGATTTTGGAACCCAAAAAAATAAAGTCAGTCACTGTTTCCACTGTTTCCCCATCTATTTCCCATGAAGCGTTGGGACCAGATGCTATGATCTTAGTTTTCTGAATGCTGAGCTTTAAGCCAACTTTTTCACTCTCCTCTTTCATTTTCATCTAGAGGCTTTTTAGTTCCTCTTTGCTTTCTGCCATAATGGTGGTGTTATCTGCATATCTGAGGTTATTGATATTTCTCCCTGAAAACTTGATTCCAGCTTGTGCTTTGTCCAGCCCAGCATTTCTCATGATGTACTCTGTATATAAGTTAAATAAGCAGGGTGACAATATACAGCCTTGACGTACTCCTTTTCCTATCTAGAACCAATCTGTTCCATGTCCAGTTCTAACTGTTGCTTCCTGACCTGCATACAGGTTTCTCAAGAGGCAGGTCAGGTGGTCTGGTATTCCCATCTCTCTCAGAATTTTCCACAGTTTATTGTGATTCACACAGTCAAAGGCTTTGGCATAGTCAATAAAACAGAAATAGATGTTTTTCTGGAAGTCTCTTGCTTTTTCGATGATCCAGTTGATGCTGGCAATTTGATCTCTGGTTCCTCTGCCTTTTCTAAAATCAGTTTGAACATCTGGAAGTTCATGGTTCATGTATTGCTGAAGCCTGGCTTGGAGAATTTTGAGCATTACCTTACTAGTGTGTGAGATGAGGGCAATCATTCAAGTTCAGGAGGGGCAGCAGTGAGGAGATACCCCTGATCCAAGGAAAGGAGCAGCGGCTGTGCTTTGCTGAAGCAGCCATGAAGAGATACCCCACGTCCAAGGTAGCCAAATAAATAAATCTTTTAAAAAATATCAGAGGAAGCTTTTCAGATATAGTTAGAGAAAAGTCAGTTGGCAAAATGAGCTAGTTAGTGTTATTTAGAATCTTGAAACTTTTTGGTTCACTCATGTATCCTCTAATACTCTAGCTTTCTCTAGAAATCAGTAAAGAGAAATAACAGTGGTATATCAGGCATGTAATGTGTCAAAGATGGAAGACTGTAGAAAGAAGAAAAAAATAGGACCCATAATCAATGATGACAACATGCTAGATGTCTTCTTTACTATTTCTGGGTGGTGAAAAGGAAAACCATTTCCTAGCCTCTGATTCCTTGAACACAACCACAACACTCTCCAGAGTAATATTCTACAGTAAAAATATGAAAACTACAAGGAATTGGAGCCTATGGAGAAGATATGAATGGAAATTAACTCAAAAACACGGGAAGGCTTAAATAGAAATTTTAGCATAGATCTGGAAAAAGGCTCTTAGAAATTATTTCCTTTAGTAGCTTCCTTTATAAAAATTTATATCTTATATTGAAGTATAGTTGAGTAACAGTATTGTGTTGGTTTCAAGTGTACAGCAAAGCAATTCAGTTACACATACATCTATTCTTTTTCAAATTCCTTTCCCATTTTGGTTATTAAAGAGTATAAGCAGCGTTCCCTGTGCTATATATTAGGTCCTTGTTAGTTATGTATTTTAAATACAGCGGTGTGTACATGTCAATCCCAAACTCCCAAGCTATTCCTCATTCCCCACCTTTCCCCTCTGGTAGCCATAAGTTATTTCTCTAAGTCTGTGAGCCTATTTTGTAAATAAATTTGTTTGTATCATTTTTCTAAAGAGTCCACACATAAGCAATATCATATGATATTTATCTTTGTCTGACTTACTTCACTTAGCATAGTAATCTCCATCCAGGTCCATCCATGTTGCTCCAAATGCCATTATTTCTTTCTTTTTCATGGAGTAACCTCCTTTTGAAAATATCAAGGCTCTGATCTAGAGGGGTAAAGTGACCTGCCCAAGGTCAGATAAATGATAAACCCAGTATTAAAATTTTAGGTCAGCAGATTCCCAGATTAGTGCGTTTTCTGGAGCTTCTGAAAACTGATATTATTACTCTTTGCTGTATTAAAGCATAATTAATAAGAATCAAATATTTATAAAATATCTTCTGTGTCATAGTATATTTTCATTTATCAGTAACTTTACTACTGTATTAATTTATTTAGTAAATTAGATTTTTCTCTCCTCTCATCATATACTTCACTTACCAACCTTCAACCCCATCCCATTTCTCTTTCACCTGGCTGAAGGATGGAGTTATTTGTAAATGAAATGACTTGTTTCTTCCTTTCCATTCTGTTTGTTTTTATTCCTTTATTATCTTAGAGCCTTCAGTGCAATGGTGGGAGTGGACACCTTTGCCTTGTTCCCCATCTTAGGAGGGATGTGTTCAGTCTATCACCATTTATATAACACTAGCTATAGGATTTTCATATATGCCTCTCACCAGGTTGAGGAAGTTCCTTTCTGTTTTTCTAAAGTAATATGCAGACTGCAATAGTAATCACCAGGTTGGCACAATTTTGAGTAATTAAAACATTACATCTCAATTATGTTCTTTAACTTTGATGTACATCATCTTTTCAATAAGATTTTCATCAGTAATAAGAGCTGAGTCAGTTGTGGCTCCTTTCTTGCCTTGGACAGAAAACTCAATGTTGGTTGAAGTGAAAAGGAGAGGTTATTTGATCATGTGACTGAAAGGCACTGGGACTTTTGGTGTCCCTAGGTCCAATTTCTCTTGCCCAGGCTCTCTGCTCTTCTCTCTGACACAATTCTTAGATATCTTCTCTTCTTGTGATGCTAAAAGGGCTGCAGGACCCTTTGTGATCCTATGGACTGCAGCCTACCGGGCTCCTCTGTCCATGGGGATTCTCCAGGCAAGAATACTCAAGTGGGTTGCCATGCCCTTCTCCAGGGAATCTTCCTGACTCAGGAATCTTATCAGGGTTTCCTGCATTGCAGATGGATTTTTTACCAGCTGAGCTACCAGGGAAGCCCAACAGCACTTACATTACCACTTTTAATCTTCACAGCTAGCAAAGAGAAAGGTGCTATAGTTTCCCCCACTTTATAGATGAGGAAACTTAAGATTTTCAGAGGTTTACTAATTTGCCCAAATACAGACAGTAAATGGCAGAACCAGGAATCCAACTAGGCTGACTACAGAGCTGGTAGGTTTTATTATTATGTTAAACTTATTTAGTATTATTTAAATAAGGGCTTCCATGGTGACGCAGATGGTAAAGAACCTGCCTGCAATGCGGGACATACAAGAGATATGGTTTTGATTCTGGGTCAAGAAGATCCCCTGGAGAAGGGGATGGCTACCTACTCCAATATTCTTCCCTGGAAAACTCCATGGACAAGGAATTCTTCCTGGGAGGCTACAGTCCAGGGGGTCGCTAAAGAGTCAGACATAACTGAGCAACTTTCACTTTCAATTATTATTTATTTTTTTCCAAGCGTGAATGATGACTCGCAACCTAAATTAAATTATAACAAATTAGTAAAATAGGCATGAGTAAAGGTTTCTTCTACTAATTAAAATTAGAATACTAATAAACCCGATATATAAATGACACTTTTAGTCCCCAAAATTTGCTTTATGCTCTTGTTCTTCCAAAGGCTGGCCTTGGTAATAAATTCTTTAAAATAAAATATATCCCAAGATGTTCTTTGAAATGATCTTATCAGATGTCTCATAAACCGTTGGTGGTTCCTTGCTATGAACTGAATGTTTACATCCTCTCCAAATCAGATGTTGAAGCCTGAATCCCCAGTGTGGTGGAATTTGGAGGTGGGGCCTTTGGGAGGTCATTAGGTCATGAGGGTAGGGCCCTTATGAATGAGATTAGTGCCCTTAGAAGAATAGACCTGAGAAGGGTGATTGCTTTCTCTCTCTGCCATGTGAAGACACAGCAAGAATATGGCCACCTACAAACCAGAAAGTGGGTCTACAAACCAGACTCCAAATCTATTGGCGCTGATCTTGGACTTCTCAAGAAATAAATTTCTCTTGTTTACAATCAAACAAACAACAAAGAAGGGGGCTAAGCAGCCCCAAGACCTTACATTTTCTCAGTCTTTAGGTCTCTAGAATAGAGTGACTCAATCTGTCCAGAAGTTTCATCAAAAGTCTTACTATATTCTCAGCCTGAGTTGGGTTGCTTGCCCATTTTCAAATAAATTGGCCTGGTCTGGGGAATATGATGAGCTGATTGGTTCTGGACCATGTAGAGTGTACCACCTGGAGTTGGGGTGGGGCCAGCATCAACAAAACTTTGTGGTCTGAGATTGGCAGAGGTATTTCCCTGAAGAGAAATAGGGATGTGGTTAACAAACTTGGAAAAGATTATGAATAGCCAGAATCAGTAATAGTCCACTGTATTAATATTTATTCAGCATAGAATATGTGCATAGTACTTTAAACTCCTCCTCCAAACAACCCTGTAGCAATGATTGTTATTCCAACTTTCCAAATAAGGACACTGAAGTGCAGAGGTGTCACAAAGATCCAAATTCCTATGGTCAAATTGTCCCACTTCAAAGACTGAGCAATTAAGTCCTCTGCCTAACTGCCTCTCAGTTAACTTACTGCCATAATCATCCGTAATCTGCTCATGGTCAAGCAATAAAAGAACACAAGGCAAATCTAGCCAGAGATCCCACAAAAGGAAAGAAGTATTTTTATAAAACATACCTAAAGGAGATACATTATGACTATATGGAATGTTTTCATAGTTTTTCTTTTTAATACACTTTATTTTTGTATTTTTTAAGCACTATTTTTTAGAGCAGTTTTAAGTTCACAGAAAAATTGACTGGCAAGTACATAGATTCCCCATATACTCCCAGCTTCCCCTAGTATCAACATCCCCCACAAAAGTGGTACATCTGTGGCAATCAATGAACCTACAATGACACGTTATCACCCAAAGTTCCTGGCTTACAATAGGGTTTGTTTGCAGTTTTGGCAAGTGTATCCGTCATTACACTATTATACAAGATGGTTTCAGCGCCCTAAAATTCCTAGGCAGAGCACATTTCTGGGACTTGTTCCAGGACCAATAGCAAAATTTGCAGATGCTCAAATCTGTTATATAAAATGGTATAACTATTTGCATATAATACTTTACATTTCCCTATTCTTTAAATCATCTCTAGATTACTTACAATACCTAATACAATGCACATGCTATGTAAATAGTTTCTGGGGCACAGCAAACTCAAGTTTTGATTTTGGGAACTTCTGACATTTTTTTCAAATATTTTTTATCCATGGTTGGTTGAATCCATGAATGCAGAACCCGTGGTTATGGAGGGCCAGTTTTACTGTCCAAAAGACAGTATCAGTTCAATTCAGTCTCTCAGTCATGTCTGACTCTGCGACCCCATGGATTGCAGCACACCAGGCTTCCCCATCCTTTACCACCTTTCTGAGCTTGCTCAAACTCATGTCCTTTGAGTCAGTGATGCCATCCAACCATCTCATCCTCTGTTGTCCCCCTCTCCTCCCACCTTCAATCTTTCCCAGCATCAGGGTCTTTTCAAATGAGTCAGCTCTTTGCATCAGGTGGCCAAATTATTGGAGTTTCAGCTTCAGCATCAGTCCTTGCAATGAATATTCAGGGTTGATTTCCTTTATGATTGACTGGTTTGATCGCCTTGAAGTCCAAGGGACTCTCAAGAGTCTTCTCCAACACCACAGTTCCAAAGCATCAGTTCTTCGGTGCTCAGCCTTCTTTATGGTCCAACTCTCACTTCCATACTTGACAACTGGAAAAACCATAGTTTGACTAGATGGACCTTTGTTAGCAAAGTAATGTCGCTGCTTTTTAATATACTGTCTAGGTTGGTCATAGTTTTTCTTCCAAGGAGCAAGCATCTTTTAATTTCATGGCTGCAGTCACCATCTGCAGTGATTTTGGAGCCCAAGAAAAGAAAGTCTCTCACTGTTTCTGTTGTTTCCCCATCTATTTGCCATGAAGTGATGGGACAAGATGCCATGATTTTCGTTTTTTGAATGTTGAGTTTTAAGCCAGCTGTTTCACTATCCTCTTTCACCTTCTTCAAGAGGCTTTTTAGTTCTTCTTCGCTTTCTGCCATAAGGGTGGTGTCATCTGCATATCTGAGGTTATTGATATTTCTCCTGGCAATCTTGATTTCAGCTTGAGCATTTCGCATGGGGTACTCTGCATATAAGTTAAATAAGCAGGGTGACAATTGACAATATACATCCTTGATGTACTCCTTTCCCAATTTGGAACCAGTCTGTTGTTCCATGTCCAGTTCTAGCTGTTGCTTCTTGAAGCAGATATGGTGGTCTGGTATTACCATCTCTTGAAGATTTTTCCAGTTTGTTGGGATCCACATGGTCAAAGGCTTTAGTGTAGTCAATGAAACAGAAGTAGATGTTTTTCTGGAATTCTCTTGCTTTTTCTATGATCCAACAGATGTTGGCAATTTGATCTCTGGTTCCTCTGCCTTTTCTAAATCCAGCTTGAACATCTGGTAGTTCACAGTCCACATAGTGTTGAAGCCTAGCTTGGAGAATTTTAGACATTACTTTGCTAGCGTGTGAGATGAGGGTAATTGTGCGATAGTATGAACATTCTTTGGCATTGCTTTTCTTTGGGATTGGAATGAAAACTGATCTTTTCCACCTCTTTAGGGGGCCTTTAAATAGGTAATTAGCTAAGACAGTATGTTATGGACCCTTCTGAGTTAGCCCCCAGGAAGGAGACTTCTTATGCCAGGTGTCGGGGGGTCAGCCAATAGAATAGATTTGGCTCAAAAGCAAAGGAAAGCTTTGTTCTCTGATTAGAAAATGGAGAGGTGAGAGCCTGCTCTAAAGCAAACAAGCTCCTTGTTTGCTTTATAGGGATCAGCGGGCAGGGCTTGCTTTACAGGGAGCCCTGTCAGCGGGGAGGGGAGGGGGCGGAGTTCTCACGAGGCAGGCAGAGCTGTGCTGCTCTGACTCTGGATTCTAGCGCTGGGCTCGGCTAACAGCCCACTGCCGCCATCTTGAATTGCTGTGTTGTGTGTGGCTTCTGCACACAGCATGAGGTGTTGGTGCAGCTGTCTCTCACCAAGAACTCTGGTCTGAAGGGTCACGTGCAAGGCCTCTGCGTATGGCACTGTATGAGCAAGCATCAAGACTAGCACCAAGGAAGAAAAAGGTTAGATTGCTTTATTACCTAGATTCTATTTTTATTTCCTGAAAACTCTTAATGGACTTCGCTGGTGGTAGTTATGTATCAACATTTATTTTTACTCATTTATTTTTATTTGCCCCTGTAAATGAAGCTTCATAGCTGCAGAAAACTTACCAGTTTGGTCATTGCTGTATCTCTGCATCTAGTCCTGTGCCTGGTGTTTCATCATAACCGGAAGAGCTGGGTACTATTATTCTTCTCACTTCACGGATAGGAATTGAAGTCCAAGGCCCATAGGTGGTAAATGACACAGCCAGGCCTGGAACCCAAGGGCTTAGACTCCAGAAGCAATGCTCTGATTTACTGTGCTCTAAATGATTTGGTAAAAGAGGAGAAGCGTGCACTAATTTGGCCTGTCGTAGGTGATAGGGAAGGACTTTGTTAGTGGTAAGCCCTTTTGAGTAGGGCCTTGAGTGTTGGGGACCACTTTCTAGGATGGTGATGGGAAGAAGGATGTTGCAGGTGGTGGAGAAAATGACCAGGGTTCTTGGTCTTTCTCAGTCAATAGAAATCGACTAGAGGCCAGACAAGAAATTCAGGCAAGGCTTTACTGGGGCCCCTGCTGCAGCAGGTGGGAGCAAGAACTAACAAGGAGTTCCCTTGCGCACTTGCCCACTCAGGGGGCCAAGCTCATTCCTTACATGGGGTGAGGGTAGGGGTGTGTCCAGGGTTCAGGCCGGAGGAGTAGCTCAGGTGGTTTGCCCTTCCCTCTGGTGGTGTCGAGGGGCTTCCCTGACTCAGATGATAAAGAATATACTTGTAATGTGGTAGACCTAGGTTCGATCCCTGGGTTGGGAAAATCCCCTGGAGAAGGAAATGACTACCCACTCCAGTATTCTTGTCTGGAGAATCCCATGGACAGAGAGCCTGGCAGGCTACAGTGCATGGGATCCCAAAGGGTAGGACACGACTGAGCAACTTTGACTTTCATTTCACTGGTGGCGTTGAGTGCAGGGGGCATGCACAGTACCCTCTTTTGCTCCGGACACTCAGTTTTGCTCCAGGCTCTTTAGAAGTGGCAGTTGGGTTTTTTGGTCTCTTTGTATCTTTTGTCCAGAATTTGCACCAGCTGGGCATGCGTGCACTTATTTTCAGTCCCATACAGTTTCTTTAAACGCTGTTGCTGAAGGAGAGGTGTGTCCAGATGCAAGCATTGCAGCACTGCAGCAAAGGGTGCCTGGTCCCAACCTGTCTCAGTGGGAAGAGTGTGAACAAAACCAGGGTCGGGAAAGCACCAGAACATTCTGGGAAGAGTGAGTAATTGTAGAATAGGGTGTGGGGGAGTTAAAATTGGAAAGGTGGGTTGCATCATTCTGTAGAGGGTTAGAAGACATCAACATTATTTCATTTTGTTTGTTAAGAGGAGGCACTGTCTGTATTTCAGGAAGAGACAGCTGCACAGGATAAGTGTCAGAAGACAGCTGTTGGTTTTGAACAACTCATATAAATACTTAGAATCCTATTTTACTTATTTGTAAAATGTAAATATAAATACCTTGTTCATAGTTTTTCATTTTTATTTTTCTCGAGAGGGTTAAATAGGATTATCTTATGGAATTACCCTGTAAACTTTAGTTTATACAGTACACAAAGGTTAGTGAAGATTTTCATCATATGGTCCCTGACTGAAGAAAGTGTAGAAGTTAGCAAGTGGGCAATAGCAGAGATCTGAGTGAAAAATGACCAGAGTCTATAAGATGATAAGATAATTAGATACTATTGTCTAACAAGATTAAGTTTAAATGAGTTTATGTTTGTAAAGCTCTTAGAAGAATACCTGGCTCATAACTCACCATAAGTGATTATCTTTCTATCATTCTATGTTTTTTAAGTAACAGGAATGCAAAAGATGTTTAAGGGATGGAACCAATTACGATTATAGGCTTTATTGTGTGAAGGTCAGTTGCAGAGAAAATGGAATCAGAAATAACAGCAATAAAAAATTATAACCTCAGGTGCCTAGGAGAGTGTTCATTATTGTTATAAGGAAGAAAGAACAGAGAAGAGATGAAGACTTCCTTTGAACGTGATACATTGTTCCTTAAAAACTCAGCGGATGTTCAAAAGCTCTGAAAATGGGGGCATGGTGTAAAAGGATGGAAGGAACTCATGGTCAGAGGAATACACTGGGGGATTTTTGTTTAGAATGGTTACTTGGAGTTTGAGATCATATCAAGAATAGAGTGAACGAAAGTTAGAGAAGCCAAGGGCAGAAACGTAGAACAATGCTTCTGAAGCTTTACCATGTATATGAATCACCTGGGCATGTTACTGAACTACAGACTCTGACTCAGTAGGTCTAAAGTGGGGCCCGAGATGCTGTTCATCTGACAAGCTCCCAGAGTGCAGCAGTATTTCTAGTCCATGAGCACAGCCTGAGATACTGAGATGAGGTCAGAAAATTGAG